TCTAGTGATCCTCCTATTTTCAGCCTCCCAAGCGCGGGGATCACAGGCACGTGCCACCACCCACATTCTCAGTCACCGTCTTGGTGCGCCCTGGGGGCAGGGCCGGTACAGCACTCCGGAGATCGAACCCTGAGCCCTGTGTCTGCCTGAGCAGGCATGTCAGTCCACTGGGCTGTTTGGCCGGCCCAGCCTGGGCTTTTCTGATGCAGTTTTCAACTCAGTCATACTGAACGTGGGTAAACTTGGGACGAGCTCATCCCACAAGTGCCTATTTGTCCTGCAACGGTCACTCCATCGGGCCAGTGCTCCAGTAACACCTCTAATGCCCTCATCCTCCAGGGACACAGAGGAAGCACAGAAGGTGTTGGGAGAGGTACAGTCAACATTGCAGACATGGGGATGAGTTCAGTCGGCACAGGGAGGAGAGGCTCGGGTGTGTGTTCACCGTAGCAGGGGCCAGCGCCCTCCTGTTAGCCTCTTACACCAGTGTTCTCTATATTGCTGTGATTAGAAATTGATTTAGCCCTAAAAACCCAGTTTTGGAGCATAACACATACTTCCCTTACACAAGACAGATTTGAGAGTCACCAGCGTCCTTCAGTCACTAGTGCACGTCACAGTTTATAGGAGACTCTTGGTTACTCTTCTCTCATATTGGGACAAAATACCTGATACTCAAGATGAAGGAAGGAAAGGCTTATTTAGCTCACAGTTACGGGAGGTTTCAGTCCGTACTCAGCTGGCTCCAAGGCAGAGCGGCACCCAGCGGAGAGCAGCCTTTCACGGCTGTGGCAAAGAGCAGAGAGCACAGGAAGGGGCAGCAGCTGAGGCTTCCCGCCAGCCTCTCTCCCTCCTCACGCTGTAATGCAGGCTACCTGCCCAGGGCAGGCACAGCACCCACACCCACGGTAATCAGTCACAAACTCCAGAAGCCACCCTATGACTGCGGGAGGCAGCAGAGACAGAAGCCACCGGCAGGTCACTCTGCCAGGCAGGTGCTGCACAATAGGAGCCTGCAGGGTTCTGGGTGCAGCAGTCAGGCTCTCGGGAGATGATGCTTTGAAAGGAAGCTGCTGAACAAGTTCAACAGCAAAGACCGCGTGCACTTTCCACGGTCCTGCAGAGGCAGAGGGCGTGTTGGTTAGGAGTAAACAATAGCTCACCATGATGCTCACGCAAGCTCGAAAGGTGTTTCCTCCCTGGCCCCGTGTGCTTTTTAAAATGCATGTATGTGCATTTGTCATAGCAAAATATCCATAATGCAAAGTCACTGTTTTAACAATGTACCTTTTAATATATTTTATATTTTTATGTTAGCATATGCTAGCAGTACACAATGACTATGAATACTGTGGGGAGTTGGTACACGTACCTTTTTAACTATCCTTTTATGGCTGGATTATTTAATTTAACAAAACAT